CAAGTGCAGGCCCGATGCAGTCTCCACAACATGGCTAACCTCGCCTGGTTTCAGGGCAAACGCTGCGTCCTCGAATTCTTTCTGCATGTCACCCTTGCCAAAGAAACCCCTGTTGGAGATATTAGCAAACGACTGTAGCCAAACTGGATGAGATTTCGACTCACAGATCTCCGCGCTTTCGTGCACTGCTGCAGTCCGACTCGACCATTGCCAGCTCTCCCAGAGTCTCTGAGCCAGCTCGAATGCGCTGTTCATGCCCAAGCAGAATCTGCATAGCCTCCTCCTTTGGACGTACTATCCGCGACTCCCTCCAGCTGGATGGACGCCTGCTGTCACGATGCTTGATGAGCAAATGAGCGCACCGAATCTTGTCCTCTTGAGCGTCGCCTAGAGCTGGTCGACTGATGGAAGCGGTATGGTTGCTGGCCATGAAGTTCTTGAGCTTTTCGGCATCGGCAGTGTCTGGTGGTTCCCATCGAGACTCCTTGGTATCGGGGTTGAAGTAGTAGGGCAGGTTCTTCGAATTCGAGACGCGGACCTCCCACGGCTCGGGCAGACCAGACTCTTCGCTCCAGACCTGTATTCGATTAGCCAATGTTGTTTGTGAGAGCTCGGCGATAAACAGACCATGGTTGCGCAAATTGAATGTATGGGATGTAGTGGTTGTTGTTAAAGATGGTGAGACTTTAGCAGGGAGGAGCTCCGATATGCAGTGCAACAGTCAGCAACGGGGGATGATTTATCGAATGCTTGAGGAATGGATGTTGAGGACGTACTGAAGATCGGCTCTGTTGGTTTCCAGATGCACAGACTTTGTAGTGGCGTGGTGGGGTTTCACCTGCAGTTATTACCTGCCCTAGGAGGTACGGGGCAACGCGATATCGATCACGCTTCTGAGCCTCAGCGTCAAGGCCAATGCCAGTTCGAAGTCTCAAACGCAGGAGAGACCCGGAAAGAAATTATGAATGTGTTGGAGGCCGTGACTGTTCTGTATTTCACCTAAGTGAATGAGGGACTCGTAGCGACAGCGACCCGATCACTCAATGTTGCCGTGGTGTAAGCAGCTGCAGCATTCCAGTCACGTTCCTTCCCCGATTCGCCGAGCTGGAGCCAGCCAAGCCAGCGACTTCAAGCTCTCAGCTCCTCGCTCTCTCATAACCAGTACCGCGCTTTGTGCTTTACATCTTCTCACCCAGCCATACAGAGTCAAGCGACAAACTCAAACCCTCTCCAGCTCCACCATAAAACAAGCACAGCCATTCGCGTCTACCAAACAAATACACACCGCAACAATGTCGAGTCCTGCAGCCAACGCTGAAGACGAGAAAGCAGGAAAGATCACATTTCGCTTTTGCCGAGAATGGTGAGCTACCGCACATACCTCCTCGATCTATGCTAACATCTTCGAAGCGCCAACATGCTCTATCCTAAGGAAGACTTCGAAACCAATACCCTCGAATTTGCCTGCAAAACATGCACCTACACCATGCCTGCCGAAACCGCCTGTGTCTTCCGCCACCAGCTCTCCAACACAGTCGGAGCCACCAGCGGCGTCACCCAAGACGTCGCCCAAGATCCAACGGTTGGTCTCCCCAGTCTGCCTGATTTCTGCACTCTATGTGGACAAGAGATATTCTGCGAGATCTGCGGCCAGGAGACAGACCGAGGCTTCTTTCTTGAAGTCGACGAAGGCTCCGACCCAGCCACGAACGCTGCTCAGACTGGCCTCATGACACCTACGTCCATGTCTGCAGATGCAACGCCCCAGGAACTAGCTTCGAGTCAGCAACAGCTCGAGCAACTACATCTTGAGCAGCAGAATCACCATTCGCCGATAGACTCGCAGAATTGTAAAGAGGGGGAACCTAGGCGATCCTAGATTTTGAGGTTATTGTTATTGTTATTGTTATTGTTATCTCGGCATAGCTCTGGATAGATAGGTTGGCTAACAAGGGTTTTCACCTGCAGCTGCCGCGAATCCAAAAGAAATGTCCGACTTGTGGCGAGATGGAAGCAGTCTTCTTCCAGTCGCAACAGCGAACTGCCGAAACTGGCATGGTATGTGCTCGATTGCCTTGCTAGTTTGCATAAACTCTGATCACTTTATAGCAACTCTACTACGTATGCTGTTCGTGTGGCGAGGTTTGGCAGCTTGTGGATGGTAAAGACGCAATCATCAGAAATGATTAAGGGAGTTCTTCGGTTCTCATATTTCAGGTCTGAACATGGGTCATTTACAAAATGTGTGAAGCATTTGAGCATTGACAATTTGACGGCAAGGCGCTACTGTATAGGCACAGTTGGATTCGGCGTTTTTCATGATCTAGATACCCAAAAGTCCAACGACTGTGGTACATATTATGAATACAGTTCTTCTCATCATCATCATCATCATCATCGTTCCGTAGGCTATGCTTTAGCGAAGCACTCGCGACATCTTATTTCATGAGGCTTGTGTTGGAAACGATTCAGTCGCATGAATTTGCGCGATGCTCGACGTAGTCTACACGCGCAGTTTCAACACTTTCCTATGACCATCATTTCTTGTCGGGTCGCGTATCTCCTACAAATGCATCGGTGCCAGTGACAAAATCTTACTCCACTGCTTATCCTTCAACTCGGCTCCCACAACACCTAGACCATAGTTTTAGCCCAATATCCTCACTACTCACCCTGCTAGTTCAAGCAAGGTCGAACTCACCATTTAGCCGGCTCCCAATGGGATCGCCGCCCTTCCCAATAAGTACACAAGCATTGTCGTCAAACCTCACCACGGACCCATCCTTCCTCTGCATTTTCTTCGCTGTCCTGACCACCACTGCGTGTCTTATATCGCCGCGACGGACTTTGTTTGCTGCGCTAATAGAGACGGAGCCGCCGGGACCGGTTTCTGGGCCGAAGTTCCGTTGTTTTTGGACTACTACTATTATTCTGTCGCCTGTGATACCGTAGGGGTTAGTCGGGGTTCGAGAATCTGATTTTGACGGGAGAGTTCGCACGGCAGGGCGTGGGATATGGAATAGGGGAGGTGGCAGGAGTGTGTACCGATTTTGGCAGCTCTTTTCATGCGGAGGACTTTTATGCATTCGACTATTGCGGCGCCGGAGTTGTCGATGCAGTTTAACCATGACTGTGTCGCGTCAGAAATGTTTACGCAAAGGGCTGGAGAGAACAAGAACCTTCAATTGAATCATTGTGACGGCTTCGTCCCTTCGAGAGGGTGAATCGACGTTGGCAGTCTCGAGAGGCGGCGATGCGGTGGACGATGGAGTCGCGATACTTTTTGGAAATGGTCGAGCCCACCTGCAGAGTCCGCCTTCGCCGCATGTGAGCTCAGCGTACCCTTTTGCAGAAACCACAACAACTATATATCGCGTGAGACATTGATTCACGATGCAATCTGGAATATCAGGTATTACTCTTCTCGCGTCAATGTCAATCATCTGACCTCTCGCACCAGCATCCCAAGAGCTTCATGACGCCTTCAGCGACCTCAAATCCGACACATCCAAACGCGGCCTCATAGCAACAATAAATAAGGAAGCGCTAATACCGCAAATCACAATACCCTCGACCTCCCAATCCTTCAGTGCCGACCTCTCGAACCTTCAACCTCACTTGAAACCAAATGAAGCCCTTTATATCCTCCTCCGTCTCGACACATCAAGCCCCACCGGCCCCGCCTTCACAGCAATAACATATGTGCCCGATGCCGCTCCCGTACGCCAAAAGATGCTCTTCGCATCCACGAGGCTGACATTGACAAGAGAACTTGGTGGAGAGAATTTCACGGAAACACTGTTTTGTACTTTGGCTGAGGAATTAAGTGCTGAAGGGTGGAAGAAACACGAGGCCCATGAGAGACTCGAAAACCCACTCACGGAAGAAGAACGAAATCTAGTGGGTATCAAAGAAGCAGAGCTGACAGAGGTTGGTGGCACGGGCAGGAGAGGAGCAGGTTATGGAGGATCATCGGGACTGAAGATGACGGGCGGAGACGGCGTGGTTGAGGCCCTTTCCTCGCTGGGAGAGGAAGGATTGGTTATGCTGAAGATTGATTCTAGTGAGACCATTGTTCTTGCTGAGCCGCCGGTGCAGGGTGTCAAGACCTCGGAGCTGGCTTCACATATCGCGGCGAGTGAGCCCAGGTATTCCTTTTATAAGCACGCTTATAATGGTGCGGATGGACCGGAGACAGCGACCGTGTTTATCTACACTTGTCCGACTGCTACGAAGGTCAAGGATCGGATGCTTTATGCCAGCTCGAGGCGGAGTGCGGAGACTTTGGCTGAGAAGGAAGCTGGATTGAAACTGGCCAAGAAAGTGAGTCTTCGTCATGTTGGGAGATCGCTACTCCCGGTGTTAACTCTTCCATCAGCTCGAGGCTACAGATCCTAGCGAAATCACGGCTCAAACTATTGACGACGAATTCGTCACGAAACAGGAGACCAAGAGTGGATTTTCCAAGCCGAAACGTCCTGGACGTCGATGAAAAAATCGAATCAACTGTCACCAATTTTTCCATGAAGTATGCGCCATGACTGCTTGAAGAAATGAGTAAGATCAGCTCGTCGAGATTAGATCCCGTAGATGGGACGCAAAAAAGCACATGCAATATCATCACTCTAGATTTATGGGTGTACTTGTGTAAGTATGAGCGAGCTCGTACTCATCCTACTATCAGTATCTCATTGCTCTCTCTTGTTCCGCAATCTGTTTGTCTTTCGCTTGGATTCGAGCACATCGCAACTTTAGCGAAAGACATGAAGAATGGAACAGACAAGTCAAAACGTTCCTGAGAGACTGTATGTCAAACTCCGCATATCGATAACAATCCGAACCCCACTTAATCAGGTCGTCAAAACCGTAACAACACCAATGGTGAGTCACATCCATCACAGCACCCTCAGCACGTAGCAGAAAACTTCACACCGGTCTCGCCAGCGCGTTATGTTAGCTACTCGTTGGGTTTCAAGCATGGATCATCTCGGTTCAAGCACGACCGTGTAGCTCAGTTGGTTAGAGCGTGGTGCTAATATCTCCCCGTGGGTGTGACGCCAAGGCCGCGAGTTCGACCCTCGTCATGGTCAACCATTTCTTTCTTTTGCCACCATGCACTATGTTGTGGGAGTGAGTATTGTTCAAAGCTGAATGTTTGGTGGATGATCATGTTTTTTTCGTTCGAGGTTTGAAATTGGTATGGCGCGAAGGTTTTTTTAGATGGGAAGAAGTCGAATAATGCAAAGAAGTTGATTAAGTGAAACCAAAACGCTGAATGTTCTCTCGTGCACACCTGCGCTAGCAATGACTTTGCGCCTAACTATAAACGAAAGAAATCAAATCATGAACTGCGCATACCTGGACTTCCATCTGGTCGCTCATTGTAGTGGTGTTTGTAGAAGTGGTACACTCGTCGTGGTGACTTTCTGTATTCGAGTGCCGACAGGGGGGCAGCGTGCAGTCTTCGAAGAGATGACGTAAGCTTTAGAACGCGATAAGGTGCCTTGCATGTCAAGCTGTCATCAGACGTGCCGAAATGAATTGATGAAAAACGTGTGTGAAAACCGTTCTGTGTTGCAAATGCGAGCGTAGCGAATTTGATAGCAGTTGCAACGCCGTGCTGAAGAATTGAGCATGCATCGAGTGTCAGATTAGGAAAGACACCATACAAATACCAACATGCGCACTTGACCAACAGCTGATCCATGCCGACGTGAAATGTCAAAAATGCTGGAAACACGGTGAGACCTCATACCCGGATACGAAGGACTGGCCGCCAAGTTGTGGTTGAGGTGCTGCAGAATCGGCAGTGAGGAGCTTGGGTGGTTTGAATACTTGATAATTGGGAGGGAGACAGATTATGCCTTCGATAGCTCTTCGATGAAGAACACTCTTATGGTGCCAATTCATGCTTCTTTGTACCTTATTTTACAAATTATCGTGGTTCAGGGGAATGACACTTTGGCTCATGCTCCCGCGTACCTGTTGTTGGCCATCAAAGCTCAGACTGGTCCATCTCCAAAGACACATAAAGAGGGAAAATCCAGGTCTGGCGAGCAAGATTTGCATTGAAGCTTTTCATCGGCCATTGATTTCCGCCCAAAGAACATTGACTGTCAGTGTCAGACGCTCCTGCTAGATTGTAATGCGCGTAGTGTCGTGCATTTGATGTTCTATGTAGGTGGTCAAAGAAGCCGTTGAGTCATTCTCAAAGTCTCCCTCACGTCCAAGAATGCAATATTTAGGAGTTGGCGAGATGTCGGCTTCGGCTTCACGGCTTCCATGATCAGATGGAAAGTTCACGGTGCACGATAAAGGTATGCGGGACTCGAGTTCCAGACATGCGAGGACTGGGACTCCGAGTAGAGTGGAGCGACGATCATACCAAGTCGAGTTAGCAGGAATCTATTTACGAATGCGGGTCGAGAACTCGAGATCTTATCTCGCGATGCCCACGCGGAAACCCCTGACTAGACGATTCGGTATTGGCCAGTTGGAAGGAAATTGAGCATTGATCTTGGAGTCTTGTGAGCGGTTTCAATTTCCTCCTGACTGCTGGCCTTGAAGCGAAGGTGGTGGAAGCAAGTGGCACCGAATCGTGTCAGCTCCAATCAGCAAGCTGCATTCGTGTCTGCCTGACGGGAAGTGGGATGTGTTTGCGGATGCTGTGCTCTTCAGATTCCAGCCTGGTGCAACGACTTTGTGTGTTGGTTGAGAGATGCGAGATGCAAGTTGGTATGGGATAGATTGAGTGATGATGGCATGGGACATCTGGACAGGGAGAGTCTAGACACCTGCACCTGCTTACTGACTTTGGCATGCCATCATGTGCGGCTGAGTGAGCTGCCAGTGGTGTTGTCTGTTGACTCTCGAACTAGGGGAGGCTGAGCGCGAAGCCAGCACAACGCGACGGTACTCCTACTCTAGCCCGTTGGAGCTGTCAGGTTCGACAAAAGGGGTGTAACGCAGTATTTGTCTTGTTACATATAACCCACTCATTGTGCCCTTAGGCCCCGAGTTTGTGGCCCTTAAAGGACAACTTGCCCCCCCTCCTCCGCATCTTGACTGTCACTCTTTTAGATCCGTCAAACCCTGTCGCTTTTTACGCAGCCCAAACCACCGTCCTCGTTTCCTTGCACTCAAACCACCGACCAACAATGGCTGTCGAAGGCTCAAGGAGGACGTCCCTGGGTGGCATCCCTCTCAGCTATCTTTCTCTTGCTACGGTACGACTCGACTGTTTCGCCTGCAAAGAGGTCTACTGACTGTCTCCTAGCTGGCTGTTCAAAATGCTGCGCTTATTTTGGTATTCGACGCTCCTCCGCCTGACGGCCGCAAATCCGCGTCTAACGCCCTCACAGGTTATGCATTACTCGAGAATAATGCCCTTGGTGAATGGGCAACGATACTACACTTCTACCGCCGTATTCCTCAATGAAGTCCTCAAGCTCGCTATTGCGCTCGTCGTTGCGCTTTACGACACAGCCGGCAGTATGGGTCCGAACATCACCTCCGCAGAGCTTGTTTCAACTCTATACACTCAGGTCTTCTCCTCGGACAGCTGGAAACTAGCTATTCCGGCCGCCCTGTACACCTTCCAGAATTCGCTGCAATACATTGCTGTGAGCAACCTCGATGCCGCAACATTCCAGGTCACGTATCAGCTGAAAATCCTCACGACCGCTGTTTTCAGCGTCACAATGTTGAAGAGATCCTTGACCGTCAAGAAATGGATATCACTGGTTTTGCTCATGGCTGGTGTTGCTATAGTGCAGATACCCGTGGGCACTGGTGCGGCAGACTCCAAAGGCAAGGTTGCTCGCGATGCGAAGCATCCAGAAATGAACAAAGGCATAGGCATGGTGGCGGTGATCATTGCATGCGCTATTTCAGGGCTCGCAGGTGTTTACTTCGAGAAGGTGCTCAAGGACAGCACTCAGGTCACCCTCTGGGTCCGGAACGTGCAGCTCTCATTTTACTCGCTGTTCCCAGCGCTCTTCATCGGTGTTATTTTCAAAGATGGGGCCAATATTTCAAGAGACGGTTTCTTCGTTGGCTACAATTGGGTTGTGTGGACCGCAATCACATTCCAGGCCTGTGGTGGACTTCTGGTTGCCCTTGTGGTTAACTATGCGGACAACATTGCGAAGAACTTCGCAACCAGTATCAGTATCATAATCAGCTTCTTCGCAAGCGTATGGCTCTTCGACTTCGTCATAACCATTAATGTGAGTGGTTTGTTGGGGTTTCGCGCCAGCTGGTTTACTAACAATATGCAGTTCTTGGCTGGCATGGCTGTGGTTATTTATGCTACGTATCTTTACAGCGCTCCCGACCGGCGACCGTCTTCTATGCCCGCAGAGCCCGAACGGGAATACCGAGAGCCGAGCGGCGAAAATGATGAGGAGAGTACCTTCTATGACAGTGAACGAACACCAGCCCTCGCAGAAAAAGGAACTCGGTGAAGAGGGTCACACCTTTGGATTACTTCATCCTTACAAGAACGACCAGCCAAAGCTCCCGGCTTTGAGGAGGCACAGTTATATGGCTATTACTACTCTCTTGGGCCGTGGAGAGGAAGTCTCCACGCTGGATTGGACACCTTGATGGACTTCGTTTCCTCTCTGGAACCTGGGAAGATTTCCCTACAACCAGAGAGACCTTACGACGAAATTTGGACCGATGAAGACTGGACTAGTTCAAGAGATTTGAGCGGGTTTTGCCTTGGGCCCGGGCGGTATAACTGATTATTACAATAAGCTGGGTGGAAGCGCATAACATCATATGAATGATTGATTTAGCATTTGTAGGCTGCCAGTGTAGATTTTGGCTCCAAGAAGACTCGGGGTAAGAGAGTCGCGCTTCTGCTTCAAAACGGAAGCGGCACCTTCCCACAATAGAAGCCATCAATCCTATCCAAGTCCTCACTTGAAGTTTCTTCTCTCCCTCCCTCACCCACTCAAACATGTGAACATAATTGCTAACTTCTCCTGAACAACGGCGGCGTAATGACTGACCATCTCTTCGCTCTCCTGGACGACATTGCCCAGGCATCAAAGGACCGTCACGGTGATAGTAGCCATCCCAATGGCACTCCAGTCCGCTTCGGTGACCATCAATTGCTAGATAATGAGCCACAGTACTATGCATCTGAGCAGCATGCGCAAAATCTCCGTCACAATGACGAGGCCCCAGATCGTGGACGAGACGGAAGCAGATTCGCTGACGAAGACAAACACGGGCAACCACAAGGTGAGCAAGATCACTGGATGTGATATTCATACTCAAGGCCTGATGCTGATGTCGTTGAGAAGGGAGCAAACATTTTCAAAATCAGGCCACTCACGTAGGTCCTGGTTTAGGCAGACTCGCCAGGCTGTCAAATACTTCTCAACACCACAATGCGAGCATGCAGCCGTCACAACAACGTCCATCTCGAATGAAGGACGAATATATGAGTAATGGTCAGTGTGCCTGCTTCTATCCTGACTTGTCAGCGTCACTGACCTCGGAAGGCACCGACCAGGCACGACCTTACTATACCAATTTCTGTCAGTGGTATTCTCGCTAGCTACTAGACATGTGCTGATCAGACAACAGCTCAGTATAGCTCAAGAGGCCATGTCCAAGAACGCATGAGCTCGCCCACTGTTTCGGGACTTCCATCTAGCCCAGCGCTCAAGGCAAGCCAAAGACGACACGATCATCGCGTAGGCCAACTACATATCCAACACTGTCTCGAAGACGCGGCGGACACTCTGGAAGCTAGTGCAGACCCGAATGGGCAGACTACGCTGCAGGATGAGGTCCTGAAGCCCATAACTTGGCCGCATGCGGCACGGTTGGTGCAAGGCATTGAGCTTCTCTCTACACATGAGCTGCCTGACCGATTCCGTTCCATCTTCGGTTTCCCTGTCTTCAACGCTGTGCAATCAAAATGCTTTAATACCATCTATCGAACCAACGATAATTTCGTCCTCTCATCGCCAACTGGTAGTGGCAAAACGGTCGCATTCGAGCTAGCAATTTGTCGTCTCATCAATGGCTTCTCTGGCTGCGATTTCAAGATCGTGTACCAGGCTCCAACAAA